CTGGAGGTTTAATGTTTATTCTGGTAGAGCGTAAGATGAAAAATATTAACCATCTAAACATTATAAACCTCTGAACAGAAGCTGATAGGAAAATAAGTTTCAGGAAAGCATTTCTATTTGCCCACAGTATTTGTATTTTCCTGACAGCAGCAGTGATCTTCTGATCTACTTATGCTTCTTAAAAATGTTTACTTTACTTCAAATTCTAAAATTGAGACAAACATCATGGCTGACATTTAGTAGGATTATTTACTTCACCGTGGGTAATGAGTTTTTGCTGTAGAAGTATACTTTAAGGTAATAACTAGCAGCAGAGCAAGGACTCACCTTTTCCCCTGCAACCCTGTCCAGTGCTTTTGCAAGCAGAGAGCCTAAAGGAGGGGAGCAACTGGAACAGTGATGATATTTCAAGAAGTGACAGGCTGTCAGCCAGACTGCAGCAGGTTATGTTTGGCAAGAAAAGACCTAGAAAGTTCCTGTGCAAAGCTTTAGTTTTAGCCTTTTCAGATGAAGAGCATTCAGATTTAGTATAAACAATAGATAAAACTATCGCTAATTCAGGCCCGTATCTTTCTCCAAGTACATCCAGAAGATTCAGATTCTCATTTGCTGGAACTGGTCTGTCTGGGCTCTGTGCACCAAACTATCTGAGATAGTTTTATGGCCAGTTCAACACTGCTTTGCAAGAATAAGTGATGACTGCAGAAGACTTCTGCTTTTTTGGGTAACACCTTTTCAGAGCATGAACATAACAGCACTGACAAAAAGCATTTAAAGCAAGTTGAGTTCTCTAGAAATGTTATTTCCTAATGAAGCAAGTCATCACCTCTTAAAAGTGTGCATCATCTCAGTGTGCCAGTGTTTTGAATTAACAGGGTAACTGAGGAATATGGTGGAACATAAGGCAGAACATGAATTTTCCTGTAGTTTTGCATATATGAAATTACCATGTCAACATATTGGTGTTAAACACAAGGTGAAATATTGCATCTGAAGATCACTTTAATGAGAAGCTCAACTGACAAGTCAATATATTTTGTCAGCCAGCCCACAGACTAACCATTACTTCATTATGATAAATTGCAGTTATTGATACTAAAACTTGGACATCGAAGTAAACTTAAACATTAATGTCATGAGAGTTTGACAGCATATTCAGAAGAGTGCAACAAAACAGTAATTTTGATGTGAAGTTGGTACATAAGCCTCTACAAGCAGCTACTCTTCCATCTTTTTAAACACACTTCCATACAAACTAATCGGATATATTATCTTTACAGGGAAAATATACCCACAGAAGCTGTGAGCTACTTCTGATGATGATTTAAGTTCCTCCTATTTAACTGCTCACAGTATAGACTTGCTACTATTAATGCCAACACTGTCCATGATTTTAAAGTTTCTCCTGTTGTTCTCTGCTGAAGCAGAAATGAGCCCTCTCAGAGTCTGATTGCACTACTCCAAAAAAGGCTCTTCTCTTATTAAAAACAGCAGCTTTCCTTCTCTCTCGAGACCTGATATTTATGATCAAGCATTTCATGCCTACTTCTCTTGCCCTAATTCTGGTCATTTGCAACAATGCTGGTGTTAAGTGACTATGAAACCCGAGTCTCTGAAGTAATCAGATTTTCAGGCCCTGTGCCCTACATCACATGGAATCATTTATTGCAGTACAATAGGAAATAAGGCCACTATGCATAACAGTATTTCTGGGGGGAGAAATGTTGCTCATTGCTGAGTAACTGTATACCCAGCTGATTATGGGTTGTAAATTGTGCCTTAGGAATCAATGGGCTTTTGCATTTAGAATAAGCAGAACAGAGAGGGAACAACAAAAGTTAAGAGCACAGAGAGAAAATATGCAGGGTACTGAGCACCTGGTCACAGAAAGTGCTGACTTCCCAGATCTGACTGATATGGGCAGCTGAACTGGTCTTGGCAGCTGGGATGAGCTGGGCTATGAGGAAGCAGCAGAGCTCTGCCACTGGCTAATGAGCCCTGCAGGCTGCTCAGTCCCTTCTTCCCACATGAAAACCTCACAGCTCTGCTATGAGCCTCAGGATCTCCTTCTACCCCACATCTGCCATGACCTTTGCATACAAATAACAGAAAGGTTCAACAGCGGATGGATAAACTGAACCATGGAAGAATTGTGGACTAGTTGGATTGTTGCAGCTTGTTGTATTAAGTCTTTGAATTTCAGAGCTTACCTTAGAGTCTCTTTCTCTGATCTTGCTGAAGTTGTAGAGAAAAAAAAAGGCCCAAGCCCCTCAATTTTCCAAATGTAGTAAAAAGTGTTTGAATACACACTTTAATATATTTTCTGTGGCATTTTTGTAAAATACAGATATATAATTATAGATATAATGCATATATAGCATTTACTATATTGATAAAAAGCTAGTCTTTTCACAATGACACACCAGCAAGTATTTACAATATGATTCAAATTTTAAGGAACAAATGTTTCAAACAATATTGTGTGGTTATATGATAAGAATAATTTGAGGAAAAATAAGAGACCAGTTCTAAATAATTCCCAGATGATAAAGTACATACTTTTGCCAGGAGCACCTCCATGAACATCCATGCAGAACCCTTTTTTTTCCCCTTTGTAGGAACACGCATCATTTAGCTCTTCCACATTTCTACCTAGTCACAGCCCTTAAGATGACATGGATAATTATCCTTATCCTTTTTCAAGTACAGATTAATTGTACCATTCTTCCCATTTAAAGATTTATCCAAGTGCAGCATTTCAAAGTTTTGGCTAGAGCAGGAATTTACTATACACAGGTTTCTCGTTAATTTAAACCAATAGAGCTAGAGCTATGACAATTCACGTAACTGAAAATTTGCCCATCTTCTACACATCTCAGAACCATTTCATCAATTATTAGTGTGAGGTTTTTGAATAGTGGTTTTAGCATTGCAGGTCTTTGCTAGAGGTCTGCCTCAAAGGACGCTGCAACGCCAAAACTAGCGACAGACCTGAAGTACACAAATGCTTTTTGTTATCCTCACATATGAACACTACCTAGCCATTCATCTGTGACGTACTGTCCACAGTACAGCAGCTGTAAAGATGATCATCTTCAATGTACCGTCACCGTTTCCTGTGAGGCAGAGAAGTGCTATTATCACACTTTACAGAAGAAAAAAATGAGATACAGAGAGGCTGAGTGAATTGCCCAAGGTCACTTAAGAAGTTTGAGACAGCAAAGAAGCAAACCCACATCTCCTCAAATGCATCCTCTTGTCTTTCCAGCTTTGAATGAGAACTTTCTATGTGTCTTCTTTAACATAAACAAATACGTAACTAATACAAATAAAGCCTTCTCCAGGCATAGGCTTAAAGAATGCTGTGGTTTCTCTTCTATTCCCAAATATTAAGAGGAGATAGCAAGAGGGCTATTTCTGCATGTATTATCTCCATCCT